GCTCCAAGGAAACTCAAATCCTTCTCCAAAACCCTTAAAAGTTTCATTCAAAAAAACTCCAAGAAGCTTTGTGTTGGGTTTCTTTTGTGGAGCCTAGTTTGTGTGCGATTTGGATGTTGACCCAACCCAAATAATGTTGCGTGATTTTTTAATGGAAATTTTCTGAGGCTTAGTCCATGGAGCAGAGGCTTGAACCGATTTTTTAATGATTTTTGGGTCCATTTTGTAGCACTGTGCGCAGGATATATATAAACTAATTATTCGTTGATTAGGGTTTATATATTGGTTTTGTACGGCTGCCGTCCTCTCTGTATTCGTTCTTGAGAATAATGAAACCCTACAGCTTCGTGGATGTAGACAAATTGCCGAACCATGTAAATTCTGTGTTTGTGTGATTTTCTGAACTGCATCCTTATCGTTCTTTGATTTAATTTCACTTTATTGCCATAGTTTGATTTCATAACAATTGATATCAGAGCCAAGGTTTGGGTCTGAAATAAACAATGGCTGGAGAAGAAGTGAAGACATCTGGGATTGAGAAGTTCGATGACACTAATTACGGGTACTGGAGGATGTAGATAGAGGACTACCTCTATGGGAAGAAACTTCATCTTCCACTATTAGGGACGAAACCAGAGAGCATGAAGGATGAATACTGGAAACTGTTAGACTAATAGGTTCTAGGGGTTATTCGGCTGACCCTTTCAAGATCAGTTGGAAACAACGTTACTAAGGAAAAGACCACTGCAGATCTCTTGGCGACTTTGTCAGGTATGTATGAAAAGCATTCTGTGAACAATAAGGTGCATCTGATGAAAAAGTTATTCAATCTGAGGATGGCAGATAGTACGTCTGTTACCTAACACTTGAATGAGTTCAATACCATTACCAATCGATTATCATCTGTTGAAATTGAATTTGATGACGAGATTCGGGCTATGATATTGCTGGCTTCATTGCCAAACAGTTGGGAATCCATGAGGATGGCTGTTAGTAATTTTGCTGGTAAGATGAAACTTAAATATGATGATATTCGTGATTTAATTTTGGCTGAGGAGATGCGCAGGAGAGATTCTGGTGAGACCTCGGGATCGAGTTCTGCTCTGAATGTTGACACTTATAGGAGGTCATATGATAGAAACTACTCAAATAGAGGAAGATAAAAATCAAAGAACAGGGGCAAGAGTAAGTCAAGAACTGGACAACAACAGACAACTTGTTGGAATTGTTGCAAAACTGGCCACATAAAGAAGAACTGTAAAAATCTGAAAAAGACGGAAGGCAATGGTGCGAATACAGTTGCTGAAGAAGTGCAAGACGCACTATTACTTGTCATTCATAGTCCATTTGATGACTAGATACTGGATTCAGGGACATCTTTTCATACCTCCTCTCACCGAGAAATCATGCGAAATTATGTTGCTGATGATTTCGGGAAAGTGTACCTGGCTTATTGACAGGCACTGAACGTAGTGGGGATAAGAGATGTTGATATTACACTTCCTAATAGGTACGTGTGGACCTTACAGAAAGTCAGGCGCATTCCCGAGTTGAAGAAGAATCTTATCTCTGTGGGACAGCTCGACGACAATGGTCACTCAGTAGTGTTCTCAAATAGCACCTGAAAAGTTTCTAAAGGAGCATTGGTGCTGGCCCGGGGTAACAAGACTGACACTTTGTACATGACAGAGGGTTCTAGTGGTACTATTGCCACCACCACTATAGAGAGTACCGTAGAGCTTTTGTATTGCAGACTTGGTCATATGAGTTAGAAAGGCATGAAGGAACTCATGTCAAAAGGCAAGCTACCAGAATTGAAAGCAGTTGATTTGGGCATATGTGAGAGCTTTATACTTGGGAAGCAGAAAAAGGTCAGTTTCTTGAAGAGTGGTAGAACTCTGAAATCAGGAAAATTGGATCTTGTACACACAGATGTATGGGGACCTTCCCTAGCGACATCCCTTGGAGGTCTTCGATACTATGTCACGTTCATTGACGACCACAGTAGAAAAGTATGGGTTTATTTTTGAAACATAAATCTGACGTGTTAGATATCTTTACAAATTGGTAGGCCCTAGTTAAGACGGAGACAGGCCTAAAGCTAAAATGCTTAATGTCTGACAATGACAGAGAATACATTGATGGAGGATTCAAGGAGTACTGTGCAGTTCAAGGCATCAGAATGTAGAAGACCATTCCTGGGACACCAAAACAAAATGACACTGCTGAGCGCATGAACAGAACAATCAATGAGCATGCTAGGAGCATAAGGCTGCACGCAGGGCTACCACCTACATTTTGGACAGAAGCAATGAACACTGCAGTGTACCTGATCAATCGAGGACCATCTGTTCCATTGGAGTGCGGACTATCTGAAGAGGCTTGGAGTGGGAAAAATGTTAAACTTTCTCATCTTAGAACCTTTAGTTGTGTTTCTTATGTTCTTGTTAATGCTAATGCTTGTAGCAAGCTTGAGGCAAAATCAATAAAATGCTATTTTATTGGTTACGGAGATGAGGCATATGGTTATCGATTCTGGGATGAGCAGAGTCGAAAGATCATTAGGAGTAGAAACATGGTGTTCAATGACAAAGCTATGTACAAGGACAAGTCTAGTACAGTTGCTGATACAACTCCTCAACAGCCTGAGCTTGTCGACCTACCAGAAGTCACAGTGCAGTGTAGAGACGATAGTAATGGTGAGAGTGGATTTAGTGCACGCATTCCCATTATTCCACAATCAAATCCTGAACCATCCACAGCTGCAGTAGCTACTCGGAAGTCTTCCAGGACTATCTGACCCCCACAACGATTCTCACCTATACTGAGTTACATCATGCTGACAGATGGTGGAGAACCGCAGAATTATGAAGAAATTTTGCAAGATGAGAATTCGAGCAAGTGGGAGTTAGACATAAAAGATGAGATGGACTTCCTGCTAGGGAATCAGACATGCGAACTGACAAAATCTCCATTTGGGAAGAAAGCTCTACACAACAAGTGGGTGTACCATGTGAAGACTAAGCATGATGGCAGTAAGAGGTACAAGGCAAGGCTAGTTGTAGAAGGCTTTCAATAGAAGAAGGGCATTAACTACTCTAAGATCTTATCTCCTGTAGTGAAGATCACAACCATCAAACTAGTGCTAACAATTGTTGCTACTGAAGATTTGCATCTTGAGCAGTTAGATGTGAACACGACATTCCTTCTTGTTGAATTGGAGGAAGACATTTATATAATTCAACCATAAGGGTTCATTGTTTAGGGACAAGAGAATTTAGTCTGCAAATTAAGAAAGAGCTTGTATGGCCTAAAACAAGCTCCTAGACAGTGGTATAAGAAATTTGATAGTTTTATGTGTAATTCAGGGTACATCAGGTGTCAGGAAGATCATTGTTGTTATGTCAGGCAATTTGACAATTCTTACATTATCTTGTTGTTGTATGTAGATAATATGCTCGTTGTAGGTTCTAACATTGAGGAGATTAACAATCTGAAGAAGTAGTTGTCAAAACAGTTTGCAATGAAGGATTTGGGTGCTGCAAAACAAATCCTTGGTATGAGAATCATCAGAGACAGAGTGAAGGGCACATTAAAATTGACGCAGGCCGAGTATGTGAAAGGTACTCATTAGATTTAACATGGACCAAGTCAAACCAGTTGGCACACCGCTGGGTAGTCATTTTAGACTCAACAAAGATCAATCACCCAAGAAGAGGAGGAACATGACTGCATGAGTAAGGTTCCTTATGCTTCAGCTATTGGTTCAATCATGTATGCTATGATATGCACAAGACCAGATATTGCCCATGCAATGGGAGTTGTGAGTAAATACATGAGCAATCCAGGAAGACAACATTGAGAGGCTGTGAAGTGGATTATGAAGTACCTGAAAGGTTCCTCAGAAACATGTTTGTGTTTCACTTGAGATAGCTTGGAGTTACAGGGTTTTGTTAATGCCGACTTGGCCGGAGACATTGATAGTAGGAAGAGCACCACCGATTTTGTTTATACCTTGGGTGGTACTGCCGTGTCTTGGGGTTCCAACTTGTAGAAGACAATATCTCTTTCTAGTACAGAGGCCGAGTATGTTGCATTGTCAGAGACTTCAAAGGAGATGATATGGTTACCGAGTTTCTTGGAGGAAATAGGTAAAAAGAAACAAAAGGGAACTCTTTACAATGATAGTCAGAGTGCCATATTCCTTACCAAGAATCCAACATTTTATTCCAGGACGAAGCACATTCAGATTAAGTATCATTTCATACGGTCCTTACTTGATGATGGTTAGTTGATACTGGAGAAAATCTGTGGAACTAAGAACCCGACAGACATGTTGACTAAAGGTGTTACTATTGAGAAGTTGAAGTTTTTGGTCTTTTGGATTGAGGACAGGAGGATAAGTTACAGGGATGAGGGATTGTTCTTGGAGGATTGTGGTTTGATGTTGGTGATTGAACTAGTCTCTAAGTGGGAGGTTTGTTGGGTTTCTTTTGTAGAGTCTAGTTTGTGTGCGATCCAGATGTTGACCCGACCCGAATAATGTTGCGTGATTTTTTAATGAAAATTTTCTGAGGCTTAGTCCATGGAGCGGAGGTTGACCTGATTTTTTAATGGTTTTTGGGTCGATTTTGTAGCCCTGTGCGTAGGACATATATAAACTGATTATTTGGTGATTCGTTTTTGAGAATAATGAAACCCCTACAGCTTTGTGGACGAAGACAATTGCCGAACCACCTAAATTCTGTGTTATGTGATTGTCTGAATTGCATCCTTATCGTTCTTTGATTTAATTTCACTTTATTATCATCGTTTGATTTCATAACACTTTGTTATGGGGTCATCAACATTCACTATTCTAAGAACTTTTACACCCAATTCCTCGCATCTTTCCTTGAAGCTTGAATTCCCAACTCTTGGCTCTCCAAAAGAGAAAAAAGTGATCGATATTTCAAGGTCGAAATTGTGTCTGTTCAATCCAAGCTCTGCAATATCATACGCTAGTAGGAGTGCCAACGAGCTCCCCATGCTATGTCCTGCCAAAGTTATGTGTCTGTTATGAACAAATCTCTTAAATCTGACAATTTACGTGTCTGTTATCTCATGAATTTAGATTTTCTAAACATTACCTTAACATGGGGCCGAGGGTTATGTGGGTCGAGTCGTGCCGGAGTCAATGAGCTCATTATATTCGCAATCCATTCAGGGTTTGTAACTGTTCCTCTGAATGTTATCACTATATCTCTCCTCCCAATCCTCCTTACCTCATTACTCGATGATACAGCAACATATCCAATCCAACGGCCACACATTGCGCTGTTTTGGGTCGGAATGTTAATATCAGGAGTGGCATAAATATACTTTGTGACTTCATAATCTGTATCTGTCAAGCCAACTCCTTTTAAAATCTTCTTCTTCCCATATTTGCAATTTAGGAAGCGTTTTGAGGTTGGATTGAGATCGAAAGCCTTGTAACAGGCGGTAATGAACTCACCGTACCGGATGATTTCTTGCTGGAGAAGAGGATCTAAAGGTTCCATGAGATTTTCCCAGTTATTTAAGCCTTGAATCTCCCTCCAACAATGTGCCAAATTGGAGCTACATTCAGCAACTTTAGTAGGAATTGAAAGTGCATTCATAGAAGCAAGAACCGGGTGTTTAACTAAGGAAATCTCACTCATTTTCATCAATGTTACTTTCCCAAAAGAACTCTTCCAGGGCATAGAATCAGCTGACAACGACACAAGGTTTATGTTTGGGTTTTGCATGTTTAATGCAGAGGAAGCCATGGCGAGAGAGAGAGAGAGAGCATAGTGAATGGGTAGAGGTAGTGGGCACTTGCATATATGGGGAATGAGTAATGTTACACTGACTAAATTTTGGAATTAAATTTAGAGTTCAAAAGACATGATTGTATATTATTTTGAATCTTTATTGGGGTCCAAATGACATGACACCAATTAAAAAAATTCAAATCAACAGCTATATCATTTGGACTTCAAATTTAATCCTAAAATTTGATCAATATAACATTACTGATGGGAGAATAGAGGAGGGAGAGTTTCTCTGTCATGGAGTATTGTGGGGTTGACCAGGAGAAAAAAAATAAAGAAAAAAAGGCACGTCTCCCAGGGTTGGATTTTAAGTGCTCGGTTGGTTTTAAGTCAATCATATATTATAAATAATCGGAGGTAATTCATGTCTGAATGCACGATATAATGTGCATGATTTTAAGAGAAATGCTGGTGACTATTGAATGAATTTATTTAAAAGTATAGAATGAATTTATTAAAGTCTTTTCTGTTTATATTATAGATCTACACTAATTCTATTCGGGCCATATTGAAAACAAGCGGGAAAATACAAGACATTTCTCTCCTTAACGATGCTAATTTTTTTACACAACCTTTTTGTATCATTTTCACATAGACCGTTAGATTAATGAATCCCACAGAATTTATTAAAAATCCAATAACCAATAAATTTAATTATACCATTTCAGGTGGTGTAAAATAAATGATGGACAAAAGTGGTGTTTGACATGTCAATTGGCAGTGTTAAGGTAATGTACAAAGCTAATCAAAAGTTATATATTTTGAGAAAGAATTATCATTCATCATTTTATCATAATTTTTTTTATAAAAAAAGCCAACTGATGACAATTTTCCATTAGTTGTGCACATCAACACTATCAAGTGATGTGTTAAAGGCATACAAAATTTTCTCCAAAATATCATGCTTATATGAGTAAAATTTAAATTTTAATAAATGAATAAAAGTGTGAAAATAGATCGGAGCGAGATGCTCTCTAATATAATTATTTTTCATTAGAGCCCATTTTTCTTGAATTCACTACGAGTTCAATGATAGAACTGTATTACGTTACTAAATTAGATTTTCAAATTAAATCTAAATATTATTAATCTTATTCTACTCTTCATATAGAGATAAGGGGGATTTCAATATCCTCATCGTGCGAGACATCAAAATATTTTTTCATCTTCAATTGACAGATTTAGAAAGAAAAAAAAAAAGCCAGGAAAATTGATTCCATTCAAGTTGCATGGGTAATTACTATTCAAGACAACCATGCCAGATATTGCATGGGCAATGAACCTTGTGTGTTGGTTCAGTGTGTTCGAATAAGAGGTCAGACATTAATTTGCAGGTCCCGAGTTCAAGTCTCTCTAAGCACAAAAAATTCCGACCTAACGCATGGGTATGGTTTTGTTTACATTTGAGATTTAAATGTGTAAATTTGATATTTTTGGATTATATTGTTGAATTCAAAAAATAAGTAACAATTCCCTACTCAAAAAGCCAAAATATTGAGTAAGGGGAGGTAAAAATTAAAGGATAAAAATCATAATTGATCCCTGAACTTTAGTTTTGGTTTTTATTTGGTCTCGAAATTTTTAATTATCTTAATTTAATCTCTCAACAATCAATTTCGTCTTAATTAAGTCGTTTTATTATTTTTTACCATTAGATTAACTTTAGACTAATCCAATTTGATCCATTTTAGCATTGATCTAATTTCGTAAGGGATTAAATTCGGAAAATTAAAAGTTCAAGAACTAAATTAAAATCAAAAGTAAAATTCAAGGATCGATTATGATTTTTTCCCAAAATTAAATTACAACCTAATATTCTTTATGGGCTATAAATGAAATAGAGACTCTGAACCTGGTATTTGCACGTGTCATGGCAGATCTGAGATGGGTAATTTGGGATTTGTTGATGAGGTATTAACTTTTGGAACTGTGAAATGATGATACAGCAACACAGAAACAAAGAAAGAAGATAAAAATGTCAGTATATTTTTGAAAAAGGAAATGGAATTGAGCAAGAAAAAAACACGAAGGTTTTAAGCACAGAATAAGTAAAACCAAGCTAGAAGGTGAAGAAACACATTATAATTCAAACTGGGATTCAAATAATCTTAACACGTGAATCATTTCACAAACGTGAAACTCTGCATGGTGTGTAAACTTTGTTTGATCAAAGAAATCAATTAAACCTTAATTTTAAAATATAGAATAATCATGATTTTCACACTCATAATATTCATAATGTAGAATTAAAAACATCATTATCAACATACCTAGAATCATTAATGTAAACTTTGAATTACGTGATCAAGAATTGAACCATATTTTAGTGTAGTCTAGAAATCAATTTCTCTCTCTTCTGACCTTTATTCTTACGATACACAATTTGATGGGACATGTGTATATTTATATGTAGAGAGACCAATTTTCTAGTTTAACATAAACTCCACTTTCCATTAAAGTAGGACATCAGGAAACTATTTCTTCTTATTGACCAATTAGAAACTATTAGTTATATCAATTAGATTAGGATTAATAATCTTATCATTATCTAACACAAATTAATTATCTGATCGTAATCAGTAAAACCACATGTGTCAAATCATGTGGGCCACATTATTTCTTACATGGTGAACAATACAAACGTTTTAGGACGCAAATACTGTTGCTTTTACTTCTACAACTTAATGTTTCTTCAACCTAATTTATTTTTAGATACAGTCAATTATTCCATCCAAATCAGTTGTGGGTTTGAATGTTAGAAAAGTTTATCTGCCAAATCAACCACAATAATGAATTAGATTAACAAATTATGTTAAGGAGTTAAATCTAAATAGAATTATTGACATATTATAATACTATGTATCCAAGCAATGTGTAAGGGATGATTTCCAACAATCAGTGAGGCAACAATAGCTAAATGGATCACACCAGAATTCTTGCAACACGTAAAAGTGTTGTGATCGTGCAACAATTATGGTGAATAATAATGAATCAAACAATTAAGAAAGCAAGATAAAATAACACAGAAATTTACGTGGTTCGGCAATGTGCCTACATCCACGGGAGCTAACGGCTGTTCTTTTTTCATTATTCAAAGTAGGGTTACATCTTAAATATTTATATAACTCTAGTATGGACGTATTTATAAAAATACTCCTGTACCGTACCGCAGGGCGTTGCCCCCGCACCCCCAACTAATCAGCGTCCCCCCATAAATAAAATATATCAATCCCGTAAGGCAGATGCCGTCACGCCCCTCCGTTCCCACATCTGCTTCCTTGCCATTGTGCACATAGCAAAATATGAGCCACACATACTCTAACAATCTCCACCTTGCCAAATATTCACTCCTTAGGAGAAAAAAAAGAACATGTATCCGGGAACTCCACTAGGGACGCTAAGTTGGGGCATCTTCCATCTAGCAACTGGAGACATTAATCAAGTCCAAGAAGTGCTTGAACTTGTCTGTAATAACAGGTTTTGTCAACATGTCTACTGCATTATCATAAATGTGAACTTTCTCAAGTAATAGTTTACTAGAAGAAATCAGCTCCCTGATCTTATGAAACCTCACATCTATGTGCGGGGTCCTCGCATGATACACTTGGTTCTTTGCTAAATAAATGTCACTCTGACTGTCACAATGTAACTGAACTCCATCTTGCTAGGCACCCAACTCCTTGACCAAACATGTAAGCCACAAAGCCTCCTTGGCAGCCTCAACTACTGCCATATACTCTGACTCAGTAGTAGATAGTGCAACTATAGGCTGTACCATGGACTTCCAACAAATAAGTCTTCCCACAAGAGTAAACACATAACATATGGTAGACCTCTTATCATCCAAGTCCCCTGCATAGTTTGCATCCACATATCCCACAACTGAAGGGTCACTCTGTTATCTGCTAAACTTGATGCCATAGTCTGTAGTGCCCCTCAAGTATCTGAAAATCCACTTGACTGCATCTCAATGCTGTCGACCCGGATTTGAAAGAAACTTGCTAACCACGCTGACAGCTTGTGCCAAATTTGGTCTTGTACAAACCATGGCATACATTAAGCACCCCACTGCACTAGCATATGGGACCTTTGACATGTCATGAACTTCATCATCTGTCTTCGGACACTGAGCGGTAGACAATCTGAAATGATTCGCCAAAGGTGTACTTACTGGTTTTGCATAACTCATGTTGAACCTGTCCAACACCTTCTCAACATAGCTATGTTGAGATAACCATAATCTCCTGGAACTTCTATCCTTGCAAATCTCTATCCCAATAATCTTCTCAGTCGCACCCAAATCCTTCATGTCAAATTCTCTGCTCAACAAAGTCTTCAACTTGTTGACCTCACTCATACTCTTGGTAGCAATCAACATATCATCCACATAAAGTAACAGAAAAGTAAATAAATCATCATCAAGGCTTTTCACATAGACACAACAATCATACTCACACCTTTTGTAGCCAATCCGGATCATGTAAGAGTCAAATCGCTTGTACCACTGCCTCGGAGACTGCTTCAGCCCATAAAGTGATTTCTTCAAATTACAGACCAAATGTTCCTCTCCAGGGAGACTGAACCCTTTTGNTTGTACCACTGCCTCGGAGACTGCTTCAGCCCATAAAGTGATTTCTTCAAATTACAGACCAAATGTTCCTCTCTAGAGAGACTGAACCCTTATGGTTGTACCATGTAAATTTGTTCCTCCAAGTTGCCATGAAGGAAAGCTGTCTTTACATCCATCTGCTCCAACTTCATATCTAAATGTGCTACTAGTGCCAACACTGTCCTAATGGAAGTGTGTCTGACCACGGGGGAGAAGATCTCATCATAGTCAAATCTTTTTCTCTGTGAGTAACCCTTAGCTACTAGACGAGCCTTGAATTTTTTCCCCTCCTTTTCTGATACTGTTTCTTTCTTCTTATACACCCATTTGCACCCTATCGCTCTCT